GCAAATACTATACTCGATAGTGTTACCCTTGCTCCAAGTATTCAATGCGATCCTGTATTAACGAGTCATGAAAATACAAAACTACCATGTGTTATAATTTGGATGCCACACAAGTCACCTCTGAAAATGAGATGACAGCAATATGAGATATCTGATGCAGAGAAATATACTTGATATGTAAATGACAGTGCATGTATCTTCTGATTATTAGGGATGTATTAGTAACATGAACAGGTATTATAGTAAAACAATATATAGGTTTCATCATAGTATTCAATATCTGATATAATGTTGACCATTAATATAATTTAGTAACTACTGGTGCCACACAGGCATTGTAACTTCGAGTTTTTTATTTTGATTAATGTGTTATGTTTCCCGTAACTGGAAGTTAACAGTTGATTCGAAGTTTGGTTAACTAATTAAATTTGGTTTTAATTAAAGTTGTAGTTACTAAATGTGGACGTTCAACAAAAACAAAAATATATATTGCCCGTAACTCGAAGTTCTGTTAACTTGTTATTTGAACATCGAGTTACAATTTGGGAGTGGCTTATCAGAAGTAGACGTGGTTTCTAAAATACGGGCGTGGTCAATATTGCAATTCGATGTTTGTAACTCGACGTCCGTAACTCGAAAAATATTATCATTTGCACACTTAGACTATTAGAGCAACCACAGTATGTATGTCCCATACACAGAACCATTATGTGGTTGTCAAAGAAATTTGGGTCAATAAATGCCATGCAAAACTAATTAGTTTTAATGTAAGTCAGTAATTTAATTACGTATATTAATAAGCAATTAGTAGTTTCTCCATATGTATCTCAAGAACCACTTAACAAGCATGAGTAAAAGTTCAAACTCTGGAACTATATATATATGGTACAACAATTTTCCTTACTCTGTTGTATCGTATCTTTGGTAGAATTATTAACTTCATTACTGTTGATCACATTTCGAATTGTGCATCTCTGACAGTTTAGAACAGTTTAGCACAAGATTGAAAACGCATGGGTTTTGGGACTCATAGTTATGCGTAATGAAAAGATGAACGTGTAATTATATTTTATTCAGAATATCTGGGTATTATAACTTCAAACTTCAAATTGGCTGAAAGTGTAGAACGTAGTAGCATGCATGTACCAGCGCCAAACAAGCATATACAAGCACGAAGCACGACAAAGGGCTCGACTGAGTGAAATAGTTTGCCATATGCAGGAGGAAGACGAGAAGAAAAATGGCGCAGAATTATCAGCGATTGAACTCAGTGTAGAAAGATTGGCACAGAAAACTGAACAATTATTACAACAACATCGACCGCAATACGTATACAACCCGCCGCAGTTCGAGGGACCCAGGATAAATGAAGACCAGACCGTTGGTACAGCAAGCCTAGCATATCAGGGTAGGAAATTCAATACAATTCCAATTTGTGGCATTTGTAATAAGCAGGGTCATTCTGCAGCCGGCTGTTACAGCCGTGAAAATTATTTCAGTGGTAATTGTTATAATTGTGGCAAAAGAGGTCATATTGCAAAAAAATGTCGGGGAAGGGTGCAAAAAAGGGATTTGAGAGATATAACTTGTTATAGTTGTGGGGTGAAAGGCCATATTGGTAGAAATTGTAACAATGAAAAACAGGGTGACAATTTAAACCCAAAAGGAAGGGCGGAAAATAGACCAACTAGCCATGAAAAAAATGGTAGAAAGCCCCCTTTTGTGTTCAATGTCAACCGATATATATAGTAGTAGTTTGATTAAGGTGAAAATAGATGATAGATACGTTTGGGCATTGGTAGACACGGGAGCAGAAATTTCGGTTATTTCAAAAAGTTTCATGCGAAATTTTCCAAGCTTGAGAAATCGTAACATATATCCCCCCTTTCGAAGTTCAGCGCGTACTGTGAATGGTCAGATAGTTCCGCTCAGAGGTCGGATCTATGTCAAGACAGAAATAGCGGATCAAAAAGTAACAATTCCTTTTCACATTGTTGACCATACGAAAAGTAATTTGATAATTGGAACAGATTTTCTTGCAGAACATAAAACAGTTATTGATTTCTCAGCACGAAAGTTTCACTTGAGACCAAAATCCCCAATATGGACACAGAATAGTATCACGACCCCCCCAAAAAACACAACAAATCATAACTTGTAAAACTCGGTCGCACTATCCAAATGGCGTGATTGCTGAGAATAGATGCGTGAATAATTTATCTAAGTACGGGTTATTGACCGCAAAAGGCATTTTTGAAATACATAAGAATAAGGTGCCAATTAGAATAATGAATCCATTAGACACAGAAATTCAAATACCCCGAGGCATTAGGGTTGGAATGATACAATGCTTGACCCCAGATACTGGCATAATTGACGTTGGCTTAGAGAGAGAACCCTTAAATTTGAATGAGTTTAAGTACGATGATTACCCTAGTGAAACTGTAAACCCGTTTAATGTTGACATGGCGGGGGCTGATTTAGACCCTGGACAAAAAGAAACATTAAAGAAATTCTTAGATATGAATGGAGATGTATTTGCAGAGATTGCCAGTCATATGGACCACACAAAGGTAATACAACATAAAATTAGATTGATTGGCGACCCTGACCCAATTAGTTGTCGACCATACAGAGTTACTCCTCAAAAAAGGTCGGAAATTGAGAAACAGATTAATGATATATTATGTGAAAATATAATTTCCCCTTCTGTGTCAGAATGGAGTTTTCCGGTCGTCTTGGTTACGAAACCTGGGGGTGCTTACAGATTATGTGTCGACTATAGGAAATTACACGCAATTATGAAATTAGAGCCATATCCATTACCCTTAATTGTAGATTGTTTTGACTCCTTAGAGATAGCCAAACCCAAATATTTTTCGACGCTTGATTTAAAAAGCGGATATTCACGACCCATGCTGGGAATTATCAATTTAACCGATGTCCAATGGGAGTCGCTGGGAGTAGACATTCATTTCAACGGCTCATGAATATTGTGCTTAGAGGATTAAATTGGAAGAGTTGTTTGGTCATTTAATAAGTTAAGATGGTATCAGGGCAGATCTCGATAAATGTACAGCTATAAGAGATTTCCCATTCCACATGACGTAAGAAGTTTAAGAGGATTCTTAGGTATTTGTAATTATTATAAAAAGTTAGTGTTCCAATATGCGAAAATAGCGAGGCCTTTGAACGCGGTGACTAGTAAAAATGTAACGTTTGAATGGACAGAAGCATGTCAACGGGCATTCGAACAGCTGAAAGAGGCGCTAACAAATCCACCTATATTAGCATACCCCGATTTCGAGAAACCATTTATATTAAGTTGTGACGCCTCTGGGCAAGCCATCGGGTTTATTTTATCGCAATTGCAAGACGGACGTGAGAGAGTTATTGCATGTGGCGGGCGGGCGTTAACCTCAGCAGAGCGTAATTATCCTATAACACAATTAGAGGCGTTGGCCGTAGTGGTAGGAATTAAATATTTTGACCCGTATTTAAGGCACGCAAAGTTCAAGGTAACCCAGAAATAAGCCAAATAATAGATTACTTAACAAATGGGACCCTACCACCTGAACCGCGCAAAGCGCGAATATTGGCATATACTAGGGACGAATATGTTATGGAAAATGAAAAATTATATCACCTCTGGTTCCCCAAGGGTAAATTTAGTAAAGAACAGGATTGTGTAAGACAGTTAGTCATTCCACATAAATTAAGAAATCGCGTTTTAGAACAATTTCACAATGAATTTTGGGTTTTCAAAAACCTATGCTTCAATCAGACAGCGTTATTATTGGCCAAAAATGGCTTCTGAAATCCACAGTTGGGTGTCTACATGTGTAGATTGCGCCACTAGGAAATCTCCTAAACTACGCTCCAAGGCCCCCTTAATACTGTTAAAAATAGAAGCCCCCTGGCATAGGGTCGGAGTTGATTTTATTGGACCCATACATAAAACTCGAGCGGGACATCGATATATCATCGTATTTACGGAAATTTGGGACGGAAAATATGTCAGCTCGAACAACAGCTAGAATTCTATTTGATGAAATTATATGCAGGTACGGAGCACCATGATGTCTCTTATCGGACAGGGGTCAAAATTTCTTATCGGAAGTAATCAGGGCGACCTGTCAAATGTTTGGAATTAGAAAAGCAAACACGACACCATATAACCCACAATGCAACGCGAATACGGAACGTTTTAATCAAACATTAATTCAAATATTAATTAAGTATTTTTTGCGACTCTAGACAGGAAGATTGGGATGTATTTATACCGGCCGCGTTATTTGCGTATAGAGTAACCAGACAGGAAACGATTCAGGAAACGCCATTTTATTTGACATATGGGAGACGGGCGATGTTGCCAATAGATACAGTATTGTTAGAACCGGAACAAGGGAATAAAATACCACAAGATTATGCGGAATTACTGAAAGAGAAATTAAAAGTTGCCCATGAGACTGCTTTGAAATGCATTGAAGCTAATCAAGGAAGAATGAAATATTATTTTGACCGGCGAGCGAAAGAGAGTACTTTCCAAGTTGGAGACATTGTTTATTTGTATACACCTAAAACAACATCGGGGTTGAGTAAAAAAATGGAACATCAGTGGCACAGGCCATATCGCACGTGAACTTCCGATTGCAACGCGTGTGTGATGGGAAAATATTCAAAAATATAGTGCATGTGAATAGATTAAAACACGGAGCCTTACGTGAAGAACAAAATGACGAGAATATAATTAGGGAAACCCCTGAATTTGAAATTGTGAATACTGATGGGAGGGATACGGAAATCCGAATTGAACCCTCACCCACTCAAACGGGAATTACTGAAGAAACTGTTCCAAATTTAGATGATATACCTGAAGGAGAAAATAATTCTGAGGGGCCCAGATCTAGAGACACAGAGATAAACAGTAAGAATAGCGGATATTTTGGTATCGAAAAAATTAAGGGGCGACTAAGAAATGGTAGAAAAGAATATCTTATTAAATGGGTAGGTTACCCAGCAAATCAAAATTCTTGGGAATGCTACGAAAATTTAAACGAACAAGCGCGATTATTTTTAAAAACCCATCCGATACCCTTTATGGGGTCGACAAAGGCAAATAAGAGAAAGCGGAAGAAATTGATTAATACCGAACATCGATAACAGTTTAACTTATTTGCACCATACGTTCGCAATACCTTATGTAGATATTACTATGATGATGGTGAACGAGTCATTATGTTCAAACGTAACAGTTCACCTCATTCCGAAGTTTTGTGAGGAATACGGGGAAATTTTGAAGTTAATTGAGCAACAGAATAAGTTTTATATGTCCCACATTTCGAGAGATGAGCGGGCGATTCGTGTGTTGTTCCCAAAGATGGAGAGCCAAGATTTGGGCGATGAGCGACAGAAGAGGGGACTATTAGACTTTGTAGGGAAAATATCGAAATCTTTATTTGGAACGGCCACGTCGACTGACGTAAATATTTTAAGATGACATGTAGCGGCACTGGAAAGTTCCACCGAAGTTATGACAAATCAAATTGTTGCATACATACAGATGATTTAAATTCATATGTTTTCACAACAAATAAGAGAATCGGAAATGCTTTGAATGGGATTAAGGAAAATCATGAGGCCATTTATTTGATCGTATCTATTTTATCGCAATGGAGAGAACGCTTGAATAACATGGAACTCAATCAAGAAGCATTAGAAAAAGAGTTGAATTATGAACGGCGATCCACGCATTTAATGTTTCGATATGCTGTCCAGCGGCTGCAAACGTTACAGTTACTTGAAAGGAAGACGCAACGTAGGGTGGGTTCAATTGACGTGTTATTACAAGAAAGGTTGCCTTTGCAGTTGGTCGGACCAAAGGTGTTAGGGAATGCTTTAAGGGCGGTACGGAAGAAAGTACAAAGAAAATATCCTAATTTTGATATAGCATATACAAATTTGAATTATTATTACCATAATGCGAGAGTGACATTTCGGCGTACAGACAAAAATGTGTACGATAAAAAATGACATATTCAAGGTGTATAAAGTGATAGTCATGCCTATGCCCCTCCCTTATGATTTAAGTGATAAGCCTCAGCGTTTTGACAATAATACAGCAAAGAACAGGCGCACGAAGGTGACGTCAGTTTCAGAGTATTTTGGGGTTAATGAAGATGAAACTTCCTATATTGAAATGAGTATGGACCAAATTTCGACTTGTAGTGGTCTGTCAGTAAAAGATTGTCCCTCCATAATTACTATGATAAATATATTCTATGATAATAAAGAGGAAATTCATAATACGTGTAAAATAGATTTAATAATTAATCCCGTATACAACCCGAAGGTTCTTGAAATCGGACAGGGAAATATCTTAGTGAATGGCAATGATATAAAATGGTTGATGGAATGCAGGGATAAAATCCCAGAGCCTATTGAAGGTTGTACAATGTGTATAATTAAATTGTCATGTGGATGCGCTATACATTCAGATAATTTTTATTTATCACCGTTTTGACTAGTTGCACAGAAGATGAGGCCCCCACATTTCTGCATCCGGTAAATTTGCCATTCTTAATACCTTTTATGACCCAGAAGTCTTGATAGAAATTAAAGGAGAATCAATGTACGAGAATCCGTGGCGAGTACAGCTCCCTAACATAACCATTAACAGATGGAATTTGGATGAAATTGTACGTTCTGGCGCACGTTTGGTAGTGGATTTAAACAGGACGGCAGATTTA